AAGTGTCTGGATTACAGCTCACACCCCTATCCCCAGTCTCCTAAGGACCTGAATTAGAGCACACACCCCTATCCCCCGTCCATTAAGTTAAAACTTGGTTCTCGTCTAATGTCTTAAAAGGGTAGAGACTTAGGTATGGTACCGAGAGGCAGGGCCTTTGGGAAGTGATGGGGATTAGATAAGGTTATCAGGAAGGGTCACAATGGCTGAAGATTGGTGACTTTAGAAGAGGGACAAAGATCAGGGAACACAGATACTCCTGGGACTCTCATATGCGACTACCTGTGAGAGGGAAAAGGCTGCTGCAATGCAGCCCCTCTACTCTGAACCATGAGTCAAAATAAACCCGTCTTCTTTACGACTTGCCCCGTCTGTGATATGGTGCTGCCAGCCACCGACAGCAGCCACTGTACACTACGGTTAGGGGCATCAGGCTTCAGAGAGGGTGTCCATGCAGAGAAGGCTGGGAAGCAGGGGGCAGGGTGGTGCTGAACACGCACAAAACCATTACATGTCACACTCGACTTGCCCAGCTTTTGGAAGCGACTTCCTAAATAATTCTTTACCTTTAGCTGCAATGCAGCTTGATGTCTTGTGCCTTGGCAAATACAAAGCACAGTCCTAATCCTCAATTCTACAAAGGCCTTTCATGTCCTGTGTGACAACTGCACTCAGGAGAGAAACCCATGGCTTCACCACACTTTCAAATGTACCTTGGTACCTATCTGTATTTCTTCAGCTACTTTGCAGAAAGAAAATGAAGTTGCTACTTCTTTGCCCAATTTCAGCCTCTCAGAACAACAGTTTTAGGGCCACTGACAACTAGCAAGTCTCCCCCCCTCCTCCCCCATCTTAGTTTTGCTTACCAGGTCTTCACACTGGGTAGCTTTGAGCCTCTTTGCTATATCCAAGGCAGTTTCTCCATTCTGGTTAACTGAAACAGTGGAAGAACAAAGTCGGTTAATTGTCTGGGATACTGGAAGCAAAACATGAAGTATGATGCATATGCCGTCTCAGGCCCGTGGAGAGTCTGAGAACGGCCGCACTCACCAATGTCCACAGTAGGCTTGCTCCTAAGCAGCAGCTTCAGGCACTCCGGCTTGCCGTACATGCTGCAGTAGTGCAGAACGGTATTCCCCACGGATGTTTGCTTATCCAGGTTCCCACTGAAAAAGCGCAGGATTTTTAGAAAAAGCGGGCTACTCAACGACTGAAAACTGTGTGGCCACAGGTCGTCTCTCATCTGTGAGGTGTGTGTGTGTGCTTAAAAGCACACACAGTTCTAAGTCTGTGTCTCCTATGCCTTTTCCTGTGCCTAGCGGATCATATAGACACCTATGGGCACACTACAAAGCAGGCCTCCTCGAGAGAGACTGACAGCAGTAACTAAATGGAGTGATAAAACACTACAGGGAAAGCCATTTGAGATGCATGGATTGTTTATTTCTGGGATTGTCCATTTTGTGCTATGGACCACGTGTCACTGTGGCAAACTGCAAATACACACAGATATAATACTGTAACACCGTTCTCTTTTGTTTTCTGTAAGACGGGGGTCTCACAAAGCCCAGACTCTCCTAACTTCTGATGCCCCTGCTATATCTCTGAGCCTTGAGATGCTAAGTGAGCAATACCCCCGCCTTCACGCCCCCTCCCCTTCCACCCCCTGCACCCAGGGCCTTGTGCACACCAGACAAGCGCTGTCGACTGATCCATATCTTCAAGCACTCATGTATTTTCTTGCTTTTGTCTCCCAAGTAGCTGGGACTACAGGTACTTGCCACTGAGCTTATCCTTATAACCATGCATTTCTGTGTGCTAATACTCAACTTAAAGACCACACAAATAGGAAACCTATGATGTTTCTAATGTTACACATGGACTGACTGTCTACTGTGGGACAGACACTGTTGACTGCTGCTTAGCTTTGCTTTCACTACAGTCCTGGCTGCCTGGAACTCACAATGTAGACTGGCTGGCTTTAAGTGCAGACATCCACCTGCCTTTGCCTCCATGCCCAGCCATCACTTAGCTTTTGTATGTAGTGCCTCATTTAGTCTTCACAGTCACCTCACAAGGGACTATCGGTAGAGTAGCTTCTATCTTGCAGATGAACAGTGTGAGGCCGGTAGAGGCTGCGGTGCTCCCTAACCCAGTTTCCAGACTGGGGTTGGAGCATAAGCGGGCACTCTCTGGAGGCCATACTTTACCCAGTTTGGCCTATGTGAGTTCAACTTTCCTGTCTCGTTGCTGCTCTCAGGATAAGCTCTGTTGCTTATGGAATGGCCCAGTTAGTGTCAGCAGCCGCAAACTCCCAGTGTTCTGCCCTATACGCCCATCAGTGTGTCCTTCACTCGAACTGGCCATGGCTGCTTCATATCAACCAAAGACAATGAAAACCCCCAAGTATAACTGACCTGAGCTGCTAAGAATTCCTGTTGATTAAGGCCACGGGTTGGCCAACTGGAGCTAGTGAGCCATGTGTGGCTCATAATAAATCAAGATTTGCTAGTACACAGCTTCACTAACTCATTTGCAAGTTGCGGTCTCTGGTTGCTGTGACCGAAATGGCAGAGATCAGGGGCTGCAACTGAGCTCGCGTGGCCTGGTAAAAAGACCTTTTAACCGGCTGACCACAGAGCACTCTTGTGAGCGCTGGTGTCGGTCCCCAACAGGACTGGTCTGTGCTAGTAAATCGTTCTCTGCTCATTCAGTGAGAAAACAAAAGCCATACCAGTTCTGTACAAGGAAATCAACCAGATGGAGAGACGTCTGGTCTGCGGTCCTGACGGCAAGGTGAAGGGCTGTCTCCCCGAGCTCCTGAGAAGGAAGGGTGGACAGAGACGCCGTGATCAGTCTGCAACCTGAAGCAATTACCAGGAGCACTCCCACCACTCTCCACTCATTAGACACATTCAGCTAATATACACGCGTCGCATTAAACTGTGTCAGAGAAGTGTGATCCCTTATTTAAACGCCCTTCCTTCCTTCCTTCCTTCCTTCCTTCCTTCCTTCCTTCCTT